GAGAGTAAAACAAGTGAATTTTCAAAATTAAAGGCTTATTAGCCCTGGTCATATCGCAGTTTTTAATATTTAATTTTAAGTGGGGACGGTGCAGTTGGATTCATTGCTCTTTATTAGGACATCAGGTTTTTTAAAAATATATTTTATTGATTTTTTACAGAGAGGAAGGGAGAGGGATAGAGAGTCAGAAACATCGATCAGCTGCCTCCTGCACACCCCCTACTGGGGATGTGCCTGCAACCAAGGCACATGCCCTTGACCGGAATCGGACCGGGACCCTTGAGTCCGCAGGCCGGCGCTCTATCCACTGAGCCAAACCGGCCAGGCCTCGGAGGAATGTTTTATGTAACCTGGTCAACTGTGGTAATTTAGCAGTGGATTTTTACGTCCGACTATTAATTTCAATGTTGTCCTTTCTTTTGGCTGGAAAATAGCTGTTAGAATCAGAGATGGAGATATCAAAATGAAATGGGTGTTCTTTTTGTAGAAATTACACCAAAAGCCAGGCTTGGAGAAGGAAAAAATAATGAAGTGATATGAGTAGAAGACCTGCAGTGCAGTGTTTAATTTCTTAATCTGAATGTGAAGAAACACATTTTAAATAAAATGTATAAATTCCTAAGAGAAATATTTTTCATCTGACTGCATGCTTTAACTCGAAGCCTAAGTTTATCATTTCTCTCTCCACTATGTTAGTGTTCCTGGACTGTACATATCAAAATCATGTGATAACTTAGAATTAAAATTAATAATCATAAAAATTTTAAATACTTGGCTATCCACCTTTGTTCAGATTACTTAAATATACCAAAAAGATCTTTTTATTGAGGTATAATTGAAATGTAACATTAGTTTATGGTATACAAAATAGTGGTATACAACATAATGGTATACAATATAATGGTTGGGTATGCTTATATATTGCAAAATGAACACCAGAATAAGTCTAACATCCATCACCACATAGTTACAAAATTTTTCTTGTGATGAGAACTTTCAAAATGTACTCTCTTAGCAACTTTCAAATAATACAATGCAGTATTATTCACTGTATATTATATCCCTCCTCAGGACTTACTTATTTTATAAATGCAAGCCAAAGCCATCTTTTAAATTAAGAAAAATACTAAATAGAATAAAAGGGAAAATAAATGAATCCAAATTTTATTTTCCAAAGTTATAATGTGGAAGTTTATCAAAAGTTAAATTGAATGTTCTGAAGAAGTGTATGTAGCCAAACTACAGTACAGTTGAACTGTGCATAACATGGTTTGAACTGTGCAGGTCCACTTATAGGCGGATTTTTTTCAATAAATATACAGACCTCGGCATCCTGGGGTTTCCCATCCCAGGAATCCACAGATGTAGAGGACCTCCTGTATGCATTGTTCTACACTATCTATAATAATAAAAGCGTAGTATGCTGATTAGACCGGATGTCCTTCTGGATGTCCTTACCGAGGAAGCCCAGGCTGCGAGGGAAGCCCGGGTCCTGGGTGCCGGCAGCTGGGGGAAGGAAGGCCTACTCTTGCACGAATTTCATGCATCAGGCCTCTAGTTTTATATAAGGGACTTGAACATCCTTGGTTTTTGATTATCGTTGGAGATCCTGGAACCAATCTTGCTTCCCCCCCCCCCCCCCTTTACTGAGGGACTGTAGTTAAGTTTTTGAGGAATCAAAAAGTTATCCTCAGATTTTCCACTGCGTGAGTGTTGGGTTCCCCTAAACCCTCTTGTGTTAAAGGATCAACTATATTTGTAACTTCACTTTTATTAAGTTATTTCTGAGCTATTAATTATTTTCTAAGAACATAAGTCAGGTTTGAAACAAGTAAATAGAAGCGCTTTATTTAATTGTTTGTCTTTGTTTTTTTTAAGTGACCTGAAAAAATGTCTGGATTTCTAGAAGGCTTGAGATGCTCAGAATGCATTGATTGGGGGGAAAAACGCAATACTATTGCTTCCATTGCTGCTGGTGTTCTAGTAAGTGTCACTGATAATTTGGGTTGTCACTGTTTTGGTGTGTTTGTTTTTATGTTTTAAATTCTGTATGCTGTTTTAAATGTTTTTCATTATATATTTGCCCTTGATAATATCCAGAACCAGATTAAAGTAAAATAAATTATTTTGTGGTGTTGAATTGACTTTAGCATCCTACCTGAAACCATCTTCAGACTGCACCATAATTAATCAAAAGGAAAAGCAAAACTGCAGCCATTACTTATTCACAGTGTCAAGAGAATAGCTAAAATTCTATCAACAATAATTATTCTCCATATTACTTGGAAGTTTTGTTTCATTTTTCAATACGTATATCTTTCTGGAGGCTTATATCAGCAGCAGGCCATTCCTTTTGTCAGTTGGAATCTGAATCATTTTACTTCTTTCTCCTCCTTGAGATATTGTAACTGATTTCTAGTTCACAAAGTAAGATTATAGGCTTTATTATGAAAATATAAATATTGACTAAAGTAGACTTAGAAAAGAAGTTTATGTTAATATTCATTGCTGTCAGATTTAAGGGTATCTAATATTTAATTAGATATTAAACCATGTGTCAGTACATGTAAGAAATTGCTGGAACATTTAAGAAAAATTGGAAATTCATTGAAGGGATTCCTTCACTTTAATACCTTGCTTTCTTTTGCGCCAGTTATATATGAAATTTCTCCTTGATAATCACCTTTTTTGTTTGTTTTAGTTTTTTACAGGCTGGTGGATTATCATAGATGCAGCTGTCATTTACCCCACTATGGATGAGTTCAACCATTCATACCATGCCTGTGGCGTTATAGCAACCATCGCCTTCCTAATGTAAGTGTCATTGTCAGTGACACTAATGACGTAGGTTGTCACAAAATAAAAATGTTTTACACATAGTTGAGTAGATTATCACAAATTTTTGAAATGTTGTGAAATTAACAGATTGGGCATCGTTTAAAAGTCAAACAGTTGAGGACTTATAAAGAAAAGCCACAGCCCTCTTTTCTATTCTTCCTTTTACCTCTTCTCTTCCACTTCTATCTCCCAGCTTCTCTCAGCTGTCCTATTTCTATTCTATCAATGTTTATAACATTACTTTTTTTTTAAAATATATTTTATTGATTTTTTACAGAGAGGAAGGGAAAGGGATAGAGAGTTAGAAACATTGATAAGAGAGAAACACCAATCAGCTGCCTGCTGCACACTCCCCACTGGGGATGTGCCCGCAACCAAGGTACATGCCCTTGACCGGAATCGAACCTGGGACCCTTGAGTCCGCAAGGCCGATGCTCTATCCACTGAGCCAAACCGGTTAGGGCATATAACATTACTTTTAGGTCAGAAACCATGTAGTACTTTGTCTAAGGGTTTGTTTGTTCATCTACCAAATATTTATTAAGGTTTTATAGTTCCAGACTCTGCTGTGGAAACAGGAAATAGAGTAGTGAATAAATCAGGAAAATCCTTGCCTTTTTTGGAATTCATACTCTAATGAATGAGGCAGATAGTAACAAAAGAGAAATAAATACATAGCATGTTATTTAACGGTAAGCACTAGCGAGAAAATCAGAGCAGGGAGATATAAAATGGCAACAGAGCGTGTAGAGATTTCATACCAAGTCAAGGAATGCCTCACTAAGAAGGTGGGTTTTGAGCAAAGACTTGTAGAAATGAAGGAACTTATCATGGGGATGTACATATAAGAGAGGATTGTTTCAGACAGCAGCAAGTACCAAGACTCTATGGCATGGAGATCAGTAAGATTGGAGTGAAGGGCTAAGGTAATAAAAGCTAAAGAAGACTGAAGACTGTTCCAGACTGAGGAGACTAGAGAGACATTAGAATAAAATATACCTCATGATTCTGGACAGGATTCTTTTGCTGTTAAGAGCATTATTGGGGTGGGGGGGGGAGCATTATTGGGACAGTTGGGGAACTTGAATGAGGTCTGAAGATTAAATGGTAATGAATCATTGCTCATTTCCTGCTTTTGATGGTTGTATTGTGGTTCTTTAGAACTGTCTTGTTTGTGGGAAATACGTATAATTGTATGCCTTGTTTGTAGAAGTACAGTTCCTGGGATTGTGGGTCATCACGTTGACAACTTAAAATATTCAGGGTCAAAAATTTAAAGTACTTGTAGCTTTTATGTAAGTTTGAGATTACATATAAAACTAGTAATATCAGAGAACAAATAGAGATTGTTTAAGAATGAGCTGAATAGTTAAGACTGACAAGACGGGGTCATGGCTATCTAATAGAAAATTGTGAATTTTATTCAAATGGCTCAGCAAGGAAAAACAAGAGCTAAGAACCACTAACACAGGAACATCTACATTTTTAAAAATATGAAGCTTGTTTTAAAATATATCTATTTTCCTGGCCTGGGTGGCTCAGTGGTTGAGCATCGACCTGTGAACCAGGAGCTCGCAGATTTGATTCCTGGTCAGGGCACATGCCTGGCTTGCTGACTTGATCCCCAGTAGGGGACGTGCAGGAGGCAGCCGATCAATAATTCTCTCTCATCATTGATGTTTCTATCTCTCTCTCCCTCTTCCTTCCTCTCTGAAATCAATAAAAATATATTAAAAAATAAAATATATCTATTTTATGTACCAAGTAATTTAGTTAATGTCATTGAAAATAATTATGAGTATTTTGATCATTCTAAAACTTAGATTTGAGTCCTTCTCAGTGGTTAGAGTGTCAGCCCAGGGACTGGAGGGTTCCTGGTTCGATTCCTATGAAGGCACATACCTTGGTTGCAGGCTCTATCCCCAGCCCTGGTCAGGGCCCTTGAGGGAGGCAACCAATCGATGTCTCTCTCACATCAATGTTTCTCTGCCTCTGTCTCTCTCTCTCTCCCTTCCACTCTCTCTCAAAATCAATGGAAAAGTATCCTCAAGTGAGGATTAACAAAAACAAACAAACTAAAATTTAGATTTGAATGAATAAATTAAGACTATATTATTGAGAAAAAAATTAGGGTTCAAATATTCAATACATTTATTGAGCACCTACCATGTGTTAAGCCCTGTGTTAGACACTGAAAATAAAAATGGGAAACAAGATAGACAGAGCTCCTGCCTTCATGAAGCTTATATTCTAGTGGTATATGTGTGTGTGCTAAATGTATATAATGTTTAACTTTTTAACTCGAAATATTGCGAACATTTTCCCATGACATTTAAACATTTTTTAAAGGATACTTCTAAAGAAGGCAAGGCTATCTCAGTCTAGAGTGGTACTCTATGAAAGTCAGTGAGACTTTATGTTTGGAAAATCTATCAGGAAGTGAAAAAAGATTTTACCCCTTGATTCTCTTTGTGTTGAGTATGTCTGATATGTACAAATGGAAAACTAGATGGGACCAAGCTAAAGATTATTCTAGTCTTAGCAAGATAAAATTTTTTTATTGAGGTATAATGACTATTTTGAGAATTTCACTCTCACATTTTAAAAAGCATCAGAATCCTCTAAAGGACCTGTTAAAACTCAGATTGCTAAGCTGCATTCCCAGAGTTTTGCTTCATAAGTTTAGATGGGGCTGGGAGTTTTCTTTCTAATGTGTTCCCAGGTGATGGCTGATTCTGCCAGTCTTGTGACTGTAACTGCTGCTTTAGAGCATATCTGGTTGAAGGGACTTACTTAAGATCATACGAACCCATTACTCTAGACCTGGGGTGGGCAAACTTTTTGACTCGAGGGCCACAGTGGGTTCTTAAACTGGACTGGAGGGCCGGAACAAAAGCATGGATGGAGTGTTTGTGTGAACTAATATAAATTCAAAGTAAACATCATTACATAAAAGGGTACGGTCTTTTTTTTCAATAGTTTTATTCATTTCAAACGGGCCGGATCTGGCCCGCGGGCCGTAGTTTGCCCACGGCTGCTCTAGACTCATGAGGCCTAAGCTTAAATTTGAGGAACTCTAGCTTATTGTATCTGATAATCTGATGTCATGGATAGTCTCCTCCTGGCGTCGGAAACCCTGATTTCTTGGTTTTATTTATACAGGATTAATGCAGTATCGAATGGACAAGTCCGAGGAGATAGTTACAGTGAAGGTTGCCTGGGTCAAACAGGTAAATAGGTACAAATAATGTCTTACTATGCGTCCTTAAAATGAGAATATATATGGAGAATATATATAACTCCAGATCAGGAATAGAATGAAGGTGTATTTAGAGCAGAAGTTACAGGTTCCAAGGCATAAGGTAAAAGTTGCATTTGGTTAGATTTAGCTTTAAAGTACAGAATATGCAGTTTTGAATATATAACCCTGTACAATAATGTAGATATAAATGTACACAATAAAGAACAGTATATAACGAATGTATATGCAAAATAGAACTTACCTTACTTTCCAGCTATCCCATATAAATTTTCTTCTCTTTTTTGCCAACCTTATTTGATTGAACTAGCATTTTGAAATGGTTTAGAATCATAGGTTTTAGTGTCTGTTTTAAAATACACAACATAAAATTTGCCATCTTAACCATTTCTAAATGTAGTTAGCAGTGTTAGTATATTCACATTGTTGTGCAGCCCACCTCCAGAACTTCTTTTTATCTTTCATACTGAATATAATAATAGAATTTTAGGGTGTGGGTTCATCCAGGCCCTTCCGTCTCAGCTGAGGAAATCATATCCCCTAGACTCCATTGCCATGCACCCAAGGTAAGCAGGATACAGGACATGTGTGGCAGTTTCTAGAGTCCAGTTTGCTCAAAGAATTGAGGGGACAAATATTTATTAAGCAATGTAAATGGTAAACTGAGTGTATTACATCCATACAGAAATAAACTTGGATGTAGGCAAATTGCAAGGTTTTTTGTTGTTTGTATAATGAAACGAGAGGCCTGATGCACAAAATCATGCAAGGGCTTTAGCCCCACCCCATGCCTGCTGTGGCTTTATCCAGGAGGAAGGATGCCTGGTCTAATTAGCATATTGTGCTTTTATTATTATAGATAGGAGAAACCACTAGTCAGCTATGATCTCTCTTTGGTTCGTTCACTGTCTTCGTAGATGAATTTAACACATTGTTTGTGAGTAGTTTTTATCGCACGCTAACAGGTGGCGCGGGCTATTTTTGCTAATTTTTTGCGCAAATGGCAACGTTCAGTAAAATTACGATAACTTTAGTTTACATATTTATACGTTACCTGCAGTCTACCGCTAGTCTATAAAAAACGTATTAATACGTGTCCCGCGCTCTACTACACTGGTAGAACGTATAAATACGTTTCCCGCATATAATGTGTTAAGTAGAAGAGATCCAGAAACATGTACCTACCATAACTTTATAAACTAAAGGAATAGGTGAATGTTAGTAGTTAGTGTTGATAATAATCTTCTATATACACTAGAGGCCAGTTGCATGAAGATTCGCACAATAGGCCTTCCTTCCCCTGGCTGCCGGCACTGGTTTTCCTCCGGCACCCGGGACCCAGGCCTTTGGTCTGGCCACAGCGGAGAAGCCAAGCCTCGAGCCGCTCCGGCCACAGCAGTGAGGCTTCAGTCGTCTTCAGTTTTTGCTCTGCACCTGTATATGCAAATTAACCACCATCTTTGTTGGGTTAATTTGCATACTCATCCTGATTGGCTGGTGGGTGTAGCAGAGTGACACCAATTTGCATGTTTCTGTTTTATTAGTGTAGATAAAAGGCTAATATGCAAAGTGTCCCCTTGGGAGTCAACCAGGAGACCGGGAGTTCAATTGCTCAGTATGACGTGCACTGACCACCAGGGGGTAGCACAGAATGAAGGAAGGCCCCAGCTGGCAGCCAGAAGGTCCTGATCGCCGGCCAGGTCTAGGGACCCTACCCGTACACGAATTTTGTGCACCCGGCCTCTAGGAAGACAATAATAGCTAGAACTAAGACTAGAGGAATATGGCCATTGCATCTTTAAATAAAATTTGTTAGCTAGCATAGCTTTGGGGTTGTTCAGAGACAGTTGTATTTGTTGTGTGTGTGTGTGTGTGTGTGTGTGTGTGTGTTTTAATATCACATGTATGAGTAACAGCTTATTTCATAACTATTATTTTATGTTTGTATATTAAATAAGAAATATATAGCATTCTATTTGCCATGCTAATTAAATAAACTCAGCTTGGAGTTCATTTTAGGCAGTGTAATGATTTTATAGCAGATCTTCATAAATATTATCTAAATATGATTTAAGTCTTCCTCTATTAACATAATTTTAATGCAGCTTTTCTAAGTGCCAGCCACAATAAATATGTATTTATTTTGCTGCCAAACTTCCCTGAAAGTGAAATACGATAGTGTTTAGATTCAGATATCACTGAATATGAATCTTTTGTAAGTATACCTATCTTTTTGTTTGAAAGTTCTCTTAGAGGACTTTAAATTTTGCAGCACAATTTCTAAAAATATATGAAAAATGAGTCTAAATACGGTGAAACATATTTTGTAAGATTTTTATTGGACAGTGGAGGACATTTTTTCTTAGTGTAGATATTTAGGGAAAGTAAATACAGGCACTTAAAATACACAGATCAGCCAACAAGAAAAAGGCCCACATCTTCACTGTTGAAAGATACGCAACACATCTGGTCTTTTTTAGACTTTAATGATAACTACACATTTTTTCTGTTTGAGTTTTTGAAAAGTTAATTGAATTGACTGCTGCCATATGAAAAACAATTCTGGTAAAATGTTAATTCTTTTAAGGTGCTCGCATTTGGCTGTTCATTGGTTTCATGTTGGCCTTTGGCTCTCTGATTGCATCTATGTGGATTCTCTTTGGTGGTTATGTTGCTAAAGGTAAGAGAGAGCACAGCTTATATTTTACTTCAATGGAATACTGAAATTGAGCATTAAAGTTGGTTATTTTTTTCATTAAGCTAGGCCAGCTACTAGCAATACATTTTTGCCTAGGAACTCCCCTCTCCCTATCAGTATTTTGTTTTGTTTGGATGTTTTTAGTATCTTGGAAGGAATAGGACATAGCTTGCTATTCTTTGGCTTCCAAAAACCTCAAAAGCAGAATATATATGTTCTCCAGCTAGTTGGCAGGTTTTGAATTGCTGAATAATATCCATGCAAAACTCTAATATCCTAGAATTAGAATTTATTGAGCTAATAAATTTCTGATAATGACATCATTTCCTTTTAGATAGCAAAGTAAATTAACATTTCATGTGCATCAGTTACATGAGGCCAGTTTAAGGCAAGCTCAGATAAAGGCCTGCTCTTAGATTCTTGGCTGCAATTTCGCCTGAGGGATATCAGAAAAATATGCAAAACCACGTAATGTTCCAAGTAAAATTGACTATGTTTATCATAGTAAAAATACAATACTAATGATTTGTAGAAACTGGACTAGCAGAGATATAATCTAACCCTTCTTTGAACAAAATGTGATTCTTAAACTAAAATCATGAGTTTCCTGAATTTTTATTAAAATCTTTTTGAGTCTTACAGATAAGAATGATAGGCATTTTAAAATATTTATATCTTTATTTTGTTTATATGTTTATTATTAAAATCATGTTGCCAAAAATGTAAAAAAAAAAAAATAGAAAAAAATTATAATAATCTTTTTTTTAATTATAATAATCTTACTGCTCTTAAATATTTTGGTACATTTTCTTTGTTCTCTTCTGTTTTTTATGTAGTTATAATTATAGTATAAATAAACTTTTGAAGCCTGCTATTGCATGTTACATAATATGGTTCTTTTGCTGCTACAAAATCTTTGTCACCATCATATTAGAAAGAAAAAAAATTACTTTTTTTATTTGAATTGCATAGTACTTGTTCATTATAGAAAACTGAGACTATAAAAGAGCTTAAAGAAGATTATAAAATTACTGATAATTCTTCTTTCCCAGATACAACTATTAATACAGAGTTCCTTTATATAGGAATGTGTTTATATCATAGAATTTTAAGATTTCTTTCCAAAAGGTTTTTGGAACCAGGTTATGCTTTGAGAATCATTAGTAGCAGATCTATAGTTTTATAAAGTTGCCTTTCTACAGGATCTTTATGAGCCATTCTATTTTTTATTTTATTTTATTGACTTCAGAGAGGAAGGGAAAGGGAGAGAGAAATAGCAACATCAGTGATGAGAGAGAATCATTGGTCGGCTGCCTTCTGCCTGCCCCTTACTGGGGATTGAGCCCACAACCCAGGTATATGCCCTGAGCAGGAATCAAAATGGTAACCTCTTAGTTCCTGGGTCAACACTCAACCACTGAGCCACGCCGGTTGGATGTTCCTCAGCACATTAAACAGTGTCAAACATAGTATGTAGTCAGTATTTATTAAATGAATGAAGGGATCTGTCAACTACTAAACCAATACTAGACTCTGTCATGTATTATGTCATTTAATACTCAAACCAACCATAGTTACCATCAAAGTCAGTTATATTAGGAAAACTGATATGCATCAGATTATCAGAAACTAAAATGTTTTGAGATGATAAACCTCTATAATTGTTATTATTACTTTACATTAACATTAGTATGTTATTATTATTTTTACAGAAAAAGCCGTAGTATACCCTGGAATTGCTGTATTTTTCCAAAATGCCTTCATCTTTTTTGGGTAAGTTTGTTTTGTATTTTTCATCCTATCTTTTCCTTTTAATGCTTTTTTAATAATAGTTTCTTTTATGTCATTTATATATTTAGTTGCTTTATTTACCCCTGTTCAGTGCCTCTCCATGTTATTATCATCCTATATAATAAAAGGGTAATATGCAAATTGACCCTAAAGGCAAAACAACTGGGAACGACCAGTCACTATGACATGCACTGACCACCAGGGGGCAGATGCTCAATGCAGGAACTGCCCCCTGGTGGTCAGTGTGCTACCACAGGGGGAGGTCTGCTCAGCCATAAGCCAGGGAACAGGCCTAAGCTGACAGGTGGACATCCCCCAAGGGCTCCTGGGCTGCCAGAGGGGTGTCTAACTGCCAACTTAGGCCTGACCCTCTAGAGAGCGGGCCTAAGCCGGCAGGTGGACATGCCCCGAGGGGTCCCAGACTGCGAGAGAGTGCAGGCAAG